CTTTCAGCCTATCAGGCCTCTGCTCTGCTTGGACAAATTGTTAAAAAGCTCTTTTAGTTCTGCTAATAGATGTACCTCACTCTGCCAGCAAGGCTCCAGCTCAAAAGCACTCAATTTTCTCATTCCATGGGCCAGTAAACCCACTGTTCTGTCTCATGCCAGTCTTTTGGTTCTGCTGCTAACATCTCTTTGCTGTCTCACTGCATGGCATTTGGGTCCAAGAATGTTCTCCACTTCTTGTTCTTCTTTCTTGATGGCAGTGAGATACCCCTTTTCCACCTTTAGGATGGCTCATTTTAAGCCTAGCAAGGTGGCAAACTGACCAATCCCCATGTTAGGGTTCCATACACCTTATTTGCATGGTCTTACCCCAACAAAGGCACTGTACCTTATTTACATTATTAGCAAGCTATCCAATTCCCTTGGTGGGCCACAGGTACCTTGTTGTTGTTGTTGTTGTTAGGTGCCATCAAGTTGGCTCTAACTCATAGCAACCCTATGAACAACAGAACGAAACACTGCCCAGTCCTATGCCAGTCTTGCAATCCTTGCTATAACTGAGCACATCATTGCAGCCACTGTGTCAATTCATCTTGCTGAGGGCTTTCCCCCTTTTCACTGACCAATAACAACAACAATTGGCCCTCCACTTTACCAACCATGATATCCTTCTCCAGGGAATAGTCCCTTCTGACAATATGACCAAAGTAGGTGAGATAAAGTCTGGCCATTCTTGCTTCCAACGAGCATTCTGGCTGCACTTCCTCCAGGACAGATGTTAGTTCTTTTGGTAGTACATGGTACTTTCAGTATTCTTCACCACCAACACAACGCAAAAGCATCAACTCTTCTTCAGTCTTCCTTATTCATTGTCCAGCTCTCACATGCATAAGAGGCAATTGACATGGCTTGTGTCAGGTGCACCTTAGTCTCCAAAGAGATATCTTTGCTCTTCATCACTTGACAGAGGTCTTTTGCAGCAGATTTGCCCAGTGCAATATGTAGTCTGATGTTTTGACCATTGCTTCCATTGGTGTTGATCATGGAACCAAATACTATGGAATCTTTGATAACTTCGATCCTTTCTTTCTCCATTTACCATGATGCTGTTTATTGGTCCAGTTGTGAAGATTTTCGTTTTCTTTATGTTGAGATATAATCTATACTGCAGACTGTAGTCTTTGATCTTTGTCAGTAAGAGCTTCAAGTCATCCACACTTTCAGCAAGCAAAGTTGTGTCATCTGCATATCGCAGGTTGTTAATTATCCTTCCTCCAATCCTGATGCCACACTCTCCTTCATATAGTCCAGCTTCTCTGATTATTTGCTCAGCATACATATTGAATAAGTATGGTGAAAGGATACAACCCTGATGCACTCCCTTCCTGACTTTAAACCACTCAGTATCCCCTTTTTCTGTTTGAATGACAGCCTCCTGGTCTATGTACAGGTTCCTCATGAGTACAATTAAGTGTTCTGGAATTCCCATTCTTCTCAATGTTATCCACAATTGGCTGTGATCCACACAATCAAATACCTTTGTATAGTCAAAAAACACAAGTAAACATCTTCCTGGTATTCTTTTCTTTGATCCAAAATCCATCTGACATTAGCTACAATATCCTTCACTGTGTCCCCTTCTGAATCCAGCTTGAAATTCTGTAAGTTCTGTGTCTACATACTGCTGAAACCATTTTTAAATTATCTTCAGCAAGATTTTACTTGCATGTGATATTATTGTTCGTTAATTTCCACATTCTGTAGGATCACCTTTCTTTGAAATGGGTACAAATATGGATCTCTTCCAGTCAGTTGGCTAGATAGCTGTCTTCCAAATTTCTTGGCATAGCTAAGTGAGTACCTCCAGCGGGGCATCCATTTGTTGAAACATCTCAATGCATATTCCATCAATTCTTGGAGTCTTGTCCTATGTGAAGTAGCTTACGTTTACATAAGTTGACTCAGTCATCTGGTGGGAGTCACAAAGACCACAGCTAGAAGAGCCATATTAAGTAATTCACTGCACCACAATCCCATTTTCCATTCCAGTGTACCACAGTGCAATTTTAATGCCACCGCAGGCCAAGGGTATTACTATTGTTCTTCCTCACATAAGAGATCCTTTTGCCATCTGACTTGTGATTGATTGAACTCCAGAAGCCCATTCTGAGCATCTTCACCCTAGTTCCCCTGTGGAGACAACTGGCTTAGGTCAGATTCTCCAGAACCAGACTCCAGGGTAAGTATTTTTGTGAAAGTAATTTATTAAAACATACTGTTGTTGATATTCAAGTCTATTCAGAGACAATCCAGTTCTGAGAAATCAACCATTGAAAACACTATGGAATACAGTTCTACTCTGACACCCATTGGGTCACCATGAGTTGCCATCATCTCCATGGAGTTGATGGCTGCAACTGACTTGGTTTTGGGTTTTGGTTATTGTTAGTTGCCATTGAGTTGACTACAACTCGTGGCAGGCCCACGTACAACAAAACAAAAAGGTTGCCTGGCCCTGCACCATTTTCATACTCTTTGGTATGTTTGAATTCATCATTGCAGCTATTTTAGTGCCTTCTAACTTAGGGAATTCATTTTCCAACAATATTTCAGTCAATATTGTATTGTGATCTATAGGGTTTTCATTAGCTAATTTACAGAAGATAGATCACCAGGCCTTTCTTCCTTGCCTGTCTTAGTCTGGAAGCATCACTGAAACTCATCCACCATGGGTAACTCTGTAGGTATTTGAAATAGCAGTGGCATAGCTTCCAGTGATTCAAGCAACATGCAAAACATCACAGGATGTGTGGGCTCAGGACCATAGTTGCAGGGGACATCAAGCTCAATTGGCATAACATACTGCACAAAACATTGTTCCACCTCCTACTTTGACGAGTAGCGACTGGGATCTTAAAAGCTTGCAAGCAGCCATCTATATGCAATGATGGATCTCTTCTTGTCCAGAGCAAAGAAGAATGAAGAAAACCAAAGATTCATGGAAACAATTAGTCCTCGCAACTGGTATACCATATAATCCTCAGCCTATACAACTATGAGACCAGAAGAACTAGATGGTGCCCATTTTGCTGGTCTGATAGAGCCTGGTGGAACCACTGAGACTATGGTCCCCAGCTGCCCTTCAGGTCTGGAATTGAACCCACACCTTTTGGCTTCCAGCCAAACAGAAGACAGGCATAAGAGCTGAACATGTACCTGAAGTAGATACACTCCTTGGAGAGAACAATCATGGGAGAAAGGAGGGCTGTTTATGTACAGGGAGACAGTTCAGGAGGCAGGAGTGCACAGAGGGATGGACACGGGGAAGAGGTAACTAGCAGGAAGAAGTGGGAGGGAAGCTATTGCATTGGGATAAATTGTAGTCAAAGTCATGAGACAATGTGTGTGTGAACTGCTATATGGAAAGTGAATTTGCTCTGTAAACTTTCACCCAAACCACAATTTAAAAAAAAAGAAAAACCCACAGGATAACAAACTGACAGATGGATGGTGGTATTAGGAGCTAGTCCTACGAATGACTGACAGGGGAGAAGGAAAGTTGGATCTTGAAGGCATATCATGCAAGGTCCAACTCCATCCTTAGGTAGTTTAGAAGGCAGTGTATGTTTACACCAGAGATGTCCAAGCCGAAGCAAAAAAGTTGGAATATTTATATCTATGTAGCAATGAGTCATTTGCTAAGAGCTGCTTCCAGGAGGACATAAATTCCTAGACACATCCGTGCTAGCAGGTAAAACAGTCTCCTTTAACATGAGTCCAACCATCCAACAGGGAGAAATGGTTGCCAGCTGTTCAGAGTGAAAGCTCACTGGGAAGTGGTATGCGACAGGGATACAGGTAGAGTTTTGAGAGTGTACAATCAGGCCCCTGGGTAGTGCAAATAGTTTACACTTGACTACTAACCTAAATGTTTGGAGTTCAGACCTACCCAGTGGGGCAACAGAAGAAAGGCCTGGCAATCTGCTTCTATAAAGATTACATCCAAGAAAAGCCTATGAAGTAGTTCTCTATAACACATAGGGTTGCCGTGAGTCAGGATGGACTCAGTGTCAATGGGTAAGCTATAATTACTGAATGTAGTTTAAGATTTCTTATTTGTTTATGGGAACAATGTCCTCTAGATTGGTTTTTCCTGTACTTCTTTACTCATGCACACACAGAGATAATGTGAAGATTGTCTCATGTTGAACCTAAGTTATTTTCATCACGATTATTTGGTAAAATCTGGATAGGCCTGGCTGACAGATATTGATGATGGTTGTAGCACGTGATTGATATAATTGGTGTTGCTGAATTGTCTGTAGTTGGCTCCATGGCAATTTGCAAATGTTGTGTTATATATATATATCTCTTTACACCAATTATGAAAAAAGAAACCCAGCAGCAGTCAGTAGATAAGGGCATATGAGATGCAGTCTAGGCAGGTCAGCCCCTGGGCGTGAGCAGAATGAAGATTAGAGCACACAAAGGGGGGAGCAGCTGGACAATATCTAACACAGAAGAATATGAACTGATATTTATTTTCATAATCAGAAAAAAAAAAAATTACTCTGATAAGGTTGCCACCACAGATTAAACATGGATTTTTTTCTTTCCAGGTCCAGGAACTGTGAATCTGGCAACTTGGTTCCTACACAGCAACCCCTCTGAGTCCATCGTTAATTCCACGAAACTGACAACTTTATTCTTGGTTATCCTTTTATTTGAATTCTCATTCATCATATATCTTCCTTAAAAAGAAATCCAAGTAAAAGAAAAGACTGATCTCATATTTGAAAACATCCACAAGAAGCAAAATTCTTTTCATGGGTATTTTCATCACTGAAGCCTTTCCATTTAGGAAATAAGGTGCCTAATGGCTTTTCCATCCAAGGTAGAATACCTAAGAAAGGAAATGACATGGAATTAATAAATAAACAAACAAAACTTAAATAGTGTTCTAGGGTTTAAACCATAGATGAAATCATAATTCTTTACCTTCACAAATGAGTGGTTTTCCTCTCTTTAGCCCAGTCCTGGACATCTGCTTCTCCAAATATGAGGTAGAAGAGTAATCCTAACATGTTAACGGCAAACATCAAGAAGAAGATGTTCCTCCACCCAAATTCAGGGTCCTGGGGACACAAGTAAATATTTCCTTTTCTACCCTTTTTTCCCGTGGAATGTCATAGTAACAGTTCAGAACATAGTATTCACTCTTGGGTTTCATTGCCTGGAAATGACTTGATAGTTTGATGGAAAGAAGAATTTTGAAATGCACTCAGAATACTCTCAATAAAAGAGGTTTGGGAACTTCTGTGATTAGATTATAGAACTGGATTTGTCACTATGAAAGTGGCATACATTCTCTATTTTGCAGTAATCTTGTCTACAGGAGGTGTTCTGGTTCCCTAGTACTGCTTTGACAGGAATATACCACAAATGGGATGTCCTTAACAAACAGGAGTTTATTCTCTTACAGTTTGGAGGCTTTAAGTCCAAGTTCAAAGTGCCAGGCTCTAGGGGCTGGGTCAAAGCCCCTCAACCCTGGTATCCGGCTCTGCCTCCTGCTCCCAGCCCACTAGAGCTAGAGGTGTTTCTTCACTCAGACAGCTGCTGGCTGCTGAGGCTGCCAAGACCAAGGTTGACAAGTATAAAGGCACAGTCCTGATGTTACCAAACCACATGGCAGGCCATTAACTTAAGTCCATTGTAAGTCACAAGTTCGGCAGAGCACAGCAGGCTGCTGAGCAACGACACAGCAACATGCAGGGTCCATGCATGCCTTAAGCTAGAGACCATCCCCAAAGCTGCTGCTTATATATGGAAAGCAAATCACATACCCAAAGCAGCTACACAGCTGCTTGTGGTAGATCCCACCATGGAGTTGATTGCCAGTCTTATCATGGAGAATAACTGCCACCAGCTGCCCAGCCACTCAACCAGGCCCAACCAAGTTGAGACACAACTTTTACTACCACAGGAGGTATGCTAAAAATGCTTTCAAGATTCTTCTTACATTGTGACGATATAGTGAAAAGATTATGGGCTTTGGAGCTAGACAACTCTAAGAAGAATTCTGATTTTACAAATGTCCTCTTAGCATAAATACTTATCCCATCAGATTTTCAGTTTAATCATCAGGAAGTAAAGGTAATAAGAATCCATCTTCACAATTAGTGTGAAAAATGACAATTAAATAAGTTTATTGTATAGGAAACACCTATAACAATGCCTGAATGTATCAGGCACTTAAAAATGTTTCCTTCCATTATCCTTTCTCTTGTGAATGGTTATGCAAATGAAAATTTCAAAATGATACAGATGACAGGCAGGTTGCATCAATAAAAGGAATCATCCTAAGACACCTATGTGGCTCTGTGGTTTCAGCTTCAAAAACTATATATCACTAGTGAATTGCTAGTTAGTTCTTTTTTTTGTTTCCAGAATGAGCCAAGACTGAGATCAGCAAGAAATTGTTTTATACTTTTCTTTAAATCCCTAGATGGAACAGTTTGCAGTTGACTGATAATCTAAGGATTAGTGGTTTGAAACCACTCAGTAATATCACAGAAGAAAAGACCTGGCAATATGCTTCTGTTAAAGATTGTTGTTGTTGTTATGTGTCACGGAGTCAGACCCAACTCACAGCGACCCCTCCTTGGGTTTCCGAGGTGGTATCACTACGGAGTAGATTACCCAACCTTCCTTCCAAGGAGTGGCTGGTGAGTTTAAACCACTAGCCTTCTGGTTAGCAGTCAAGTGCCTTAGGCACTATGCTATTACAGCCAAGAAACCCTATGGAGCAGTTCTACTCCGTAACACATGGTGTCACCATGAGTCAGAAGTGACTCAATGGCAACTAATAGCAACTATAGCAACACATTTTTCTTTACCAGTTATCTTCATGACAAAGTCAATCACAATTTAACTTTATTTTATAAACTTGAATGCATTCTTTACAGTATTACTTTTATAAATGGATTTGGAAGGACATTTTAATAGTCCGTCTTCATATGAAAACTTTACCTGATTGAGGAGAAATCCACTGACTGTGGGTACCAGGACAAATGCTGTGTGTGCAATTTCCCTTGAGACTCCCATGAGAAAACTGGAATATCTGTGGGAGAGAGGGATGTTCCAGGCTAGATGCAGAGATGCTTGATAATACCCTTCAGCCCTACTCCATGTAGGAATCCCTCCTATGACTACGTCATAACAGACCTGTATTATGTATATTCAGCAAGAGGCACTAAGACACATAACTGTCCCCTCTCCCCTCATACACAGTCATGCCTGAAAAAATGTCCACAGGTCTATCTGTGGTCCTTGCACGTGGTTTATTGTTTTCCAAAGTGTGGGGCTTTCAGAAAGCTTAGTTTTTTGCAGAAAATGTTAAGAACGGAGAATAGAGTCTCACCTTGGAGCAATATCTAAGGCATTAATATAGATCCCTGACTGACACAGCGGGCTTAGTCCACAAGCAAGGGTCAGAAAGATTATTGTTGTAATGAAACTGGACCTGAAGTAGGGCAGGACAACAATGAGTACTGAAGAGGGGAGATTTCCTAGGGAATAAGCGACAAATTAAATAGTGAGATTCATTCTTTGGTTGTTGTATACCTTGAGAATTAATTAATTAGGTTCTGTTCTTACCTAGAGTTGTGGCAAGTTTCCTCAATGTAATGAGCCTAAAATTCTTGGTTAGAAGAAAATCTGACAGCTGGCCTCCTAGGATACCAAAGATCCAGGCAAAAATAAAAGGAAAGGAAGATAGGAATCCATTCTGAACAAAACAATTGAAGTAAACCATGTTAATAAGGACAGTGATTTTCACTGGTAAATCACTCTTAATCATACTGCCATCCTGAAATCATACTTTCTTGAGAAAACCAGTAACCTCTTCAATCATATCTCTAGAAGGTATTCAATCAAACCTTCAATCATACCAGCATGAATATAAAATATTAGCTTACTTTGATGATAAGAGAGACATTTCTCTCAGTGGAATGATTTGTAAAGGCAGAATATTCAGTGAGTCATGCAAATGGGAGAATGAATTGGAGGAAAATATACTCACATCTCTGAGGTTAACATTGAACACAGAGCTGATGTATGTCGGTGTGTATACTGCCAATATAGTAACTAACCATTGATGGCTGAAACAGCAAAAACTCATGGACCAAAAAGGTAGAGATCTGACAATAGCTTTGAGAGGAAGAGTCTGCCTAGAAGAGCTGACCTGAAAACAAATTTACTGGTCAGAACAGTAAGATCTGAGAGATACTCTCTCACTCTTAGCCACCCTCAGAAATCCAGATCTTAGAGAAAATAGAAGTCCTTATACATACCTGTTGGGCCAAGGAAGATAAGATGTACTCTTTCTCTAAGATGCTTATCCGTGGATGAGAAATGGGGTCATCATAAACCAGGACAATCCAGAGAATGGAGTAAACACAACCTATAGCTCCTGCAAACAGAGGGTAAAATTGGCACAGGGTTGATAAATGCCTTTCTCATGAATTTCCTTTACATTAGGACATGCTCTGGTATAGAACCTGGGAAAAACCCTTGCTCATAATATCTCCTTTCCATTTCTAAAAAAAAAAGAAAATCACAGAATATTTCCACTTTCTAGCATCTATTCCTTATCATTTCTTATTTATTTGTGTGCATGGCAACCAGAGACTAAAATTAGCACTACCATACTGGTATTGTAGTGGTATTGGATTTTAATATCATTCATTCTAGTAGATGTATAAAGGTATTTCATTGTGGTTTTTATTTGTATTTCCCTAATAAATAAAGAAGGGAGAGCTCTGGTAGCGTAGTGCCTAAGGCACTTGACTGCTAACCAGAAGGCTGGCGGATCAAACCCACCAGCCACTCCTCGGAAACAAGGTTGGGCAATCTACTTCCGTAGTGATATTGCCTCGGAAACCCAAAGAGGGGTCACTCTGAGTCCGGTCAGACTTGATGGCACATAACAACAACAACAACAATAAATAAAGATGTTAAACATCATTTTATGTGTGAATTTGTCCTCCATAAATCTTCTTTGATGAAGTGCTTGTTCAAATACTTTGCCCATTTTTTAATTGGCTTGTTTGTTTTTTTATTATTGAGTTTTGAGAATTAGGTATGCATTTTGGACAAATTTCCTTGTCATATTGTGTCTTGAAAATATTTCCTCCCTATCTCAACCTTTTTTTTTAATCTTAACAATATTTTTTGAAAAGCACAAGTTTTTAACTTCAATGAAATCCAGTTTATTAATTTATTATTTCATGGATCATGCTTTTTGTATCATATCTAAGAAATCTTTGTCTAACCCAATAACAAAATATTTCTACTATGTTTTCTTCCAAAAGTGTAATAATTTTAGGTTTTACAGTTAGGTTTAGGATTCATTTTGAATTAGTTTTTGTTTTTGTCTATAGTATGAAGTATCCATCAATGTTCTTTTTTGTTTCTTTTGTTTTTGCATATAAATGTCCAACTTAAAGTACCATTCATTTAAAAGACTATTTTTTTCAACATTGAATTGCCTTTGCAATTGCTTAACAAAAATAATCTTGTATGTGTTAGTCTATTTATGTATAACTCTATTCTGTTCTCTTGATGTATTTGCCTATTTTTATGCCAACACCACCTTGTTTTGATATCAGATAATGTTAGTTATTCGACTTAGTCATTCATTTTCAAAGTTGTTTGGCTATTCCGGGTTCTTTGAATTTTCATATGAATTTTAAAATCAGCTTGTCAACTTCTGGAAAAAAAAAAAAGCCAAAACTCTCTACAAAAAAAGGCAGAAATAAGCACTCGACACATTATGCTGCAATTTTGATTACAAGTTCACTGAATCTATAGATCGATTTGGGAAGAATTATCACCCACAAATACTGAGTCTTCTAACTGATAAACATCCTCAACACATATCTCTCCATTTCCTTAGGTTCCTTAGTATCTCTCAGCAATATTTCATAGTTTTCAGAGAACAAAGTTTTTCTTATCCCTAAATGTTCCATATATTTTTATGCTATATAAAATGTTTTTATATGTCTGTAAATGTCTTTATTTTGCCTTTGTTTTTAAAATATGTTTTAAATTGGGCATAGAATTTTTATTTTTTCTTGAGTGTTGCTATGAGGCTGGAGGCTATGCCACTAGTGTTTCAAATGCCAGCAGTGTTATCCATGGTAGACAGGTTTCAGGAGAGCCTCTAGACAAAGACAGATGAAGTCATCCACTGCTCAAAGAACTGGCCAGTAAAAACCTTTTCAATAGCAGTGGAACATTCCGTAATATAGTGCCAGAAGATAAGCCCCTCAGGTCGGAAGGCACTCAAAATATAAGTGAATAAGAGCTGCCTCCCCAGAGTAAAGCTGACCTTAACAATGTGCATAGAGTAAAGCTTTCAGGATCCCCATTTGCTGATGTGGCACATCTCAAGATGAGAAGAAATCCATTAATAATCGGAACATGGAATGTATGAAGTATGACTCTAGGAAAATTGCAAGTTGTCAAAATGAAATGGAATGCAAAAGATTGATATCCTAGGCATTGGTGAGCTGAAATGGACTGGTTTGGGCCATTCTGAATCAACCATATGATCTACTATGCCAGGAATGACAAACTGAAGAGAAATGGCATGGCATCCATCATCACAAAGACTGTTTCATGATCTGTCCTGAAGTACAACTCTGTCAGTGATAGGATAACATCCATACACTACAAGGAAGACCAGTTAATACTATTAGTATTCAAATTTATGCACCAACCACCAAAGGCAAAGATGAAGAAATTGAAGATTTTTACCAACTTCTGTAGTCTGAAATTGACTGAACATGTAATTAACATGTTAATTATCACTGGTGACTGGAATGCAAACGTTGGAAACAAAGAAGAATCACTGATAGTTGGAAAATACGGATTTGGTGACAGAAATGTTGCTGGAGATCGCATGATAGAATTTTGCAAGACCAACAACTTATTCATTGCAAATACCTTTTTTCAATAACGCAAACTGTGGCTATATACATGGACTTCACCAGACGGAGTACACAGGAATCAGAGTGACTACATCTGTGGCAAGAGGTAATGGACAAGCTCAATATCTTCAGCCAACACAAGGCCAGGAGCTGACTGTGGAACAGACAATCAACTGCTCATATGCAAATTCAAGTTGAAGCTGAAGACAATTAAAACAAGTCCACAAGAGCCAAAATATGACCTTGATTATATCTCTCCTGAATTTAGAGACTGTCTAAAGAATATATCTGATGCATTGAACACCAATGACCAAAAACCAGAAGAAATGTGGGATGACATCAAAAACATCATCCATGAAGAAAGCAAGAGGTCATTAAAAAGACAGGAAAGGAAGAAAAGATCAAAATGGATGTCAGAAGAGACTCTGAAACTTGCCCTTGAATGGAGAGTAGGTAAAGCAGATGGAAGAATCAACAGGATAAAAGAGATGAACAGAAGATTTCAAAGAGCAGTTTGAGAAGACAAAGTCAATTACTATAATGAAATGTGCAAAGACCTGGAATTGGAAAACCAAAAAGGAAGAACACACTCAGCATTTCTCAAGCTGAAAGAACTGAGGAAGAAATTAAAGCCTCAAATTGCAATATTGAAAGATTCCATGGGCAATATGTGGAATGATGCAGGAAACATGAAAAGAAGATGGATGGAATACACAGAATCACTATACCAAAAAGAATTGGTAAATGATCATTCATTTCAGGAGGTGATCATATGATCACCTTGGCATATGATCAAGAACCGATGGTATTGAAGGAAGAAGTCAGAGCTGCCCTGAATGAATTGGTGAAAAACAAGGCTCCAAGATTGACAGACTACCCATTGAGATGTTTCAAGGAACGATGCTGTGGTCTTCTATACCAAGAAGTTTGGAAGACAGCTACCTGGGCAACTGACTAGAAGAGATCCACATTTGTACCCATTCCAAAGAAAGGTGGTCCCACAGAATGTGGAAGTTATCGAACAATATCATTGATATAATGTGCAAGTAAGATCTTACAGAAGATAATTCAAAAAAGGTTGCAGCAGGATACAGACAGAGAACTTCCAGAAATGCAAGCTGGATTCAGAAGGGGATGTGGTGGTGGTGGTGGTGGGGGGGATATCATAGCTAATATCAGATGGATTTTGGCTCAAAGGAAAGAATACCAGAAAGATGTTTATTTGTGTTTTATTGACTATGCAAAGATATTCAATTGCATGGATCACAACCAATTGTGGATAACATTGAGAAGAATGAGAATTCCAGAACACCTAATTGTACACATGAGCAACGTGTACATAGACCAGGAGGCTGTCATTCAAACAGAACAAGGGCATACTGTGTGGTTTAAAATCAGGAAGGGCATGTGTCACAGTTGTATCTTTTCACCATATTTATTCAATCTGTATGCTGAGCAAATCTGAGAAGCTGGACTATATGAAGAAGAGTGTAGCATCAGGATTGGAGGAAAACTCATTAACAACCTGCAATATGGAGATGACACAACTTTGCTTGCTGAAAATGAGGAAGACTTGGAGCACTTACTGATGAAAATTAAAGATGCAGTCTGCAGTATGGATTACACCTCAACATAAAGAAAACAAAAATCCTCACAACTGGAATAAGCAGCATCACGATAGATGGAGAAAAGATTGAAGTTGTCAAAGACTTCATATTGCTTGGTTCTACAATTAATGTCAATGGAAGCAGCAGTCAAGACATCAAAAGATATTGCATTGGGCAAATTTGTTGCAAAAGACCTCATTCAAGTGCTGAAGAACAAAGATGTCTCCTTGAAGACCAAGATACACCTGACCCAAGTCATGGTGTTTTCATTCACCTCATATGCATATGAGAGCTGGACAATGAATAAGGAAGACTGAAGAAAGTTGATGCTTTTGAGTTGTGGTGTTGGCGAAGAATTCTGAAAGTACCATGGACTGCTAAAAGAACTAACAAATCTGTCCTGGAAGAAGTGTAGCCGGAATGCTCCTTGGAAGTGAGAATGGCCAGACTTCATCTCACCTCCTTTGGTCATGCTGTCAGAAAGGACCATTCTCTGGAGAAGGATGCCATGCTTGGTAAAGTTGAGGGTCAACAACAAAGGGGAAGGCCCACAACAAGATGGGTTGACACAGTGGCTGCAGCAAGGGGCTCAGGTATGGTATGGATTGTCAAGTTGGCACAAGACCAGGCAGTGTTTCATTCTGCTGTACATAGGGTTGCTATGAATTGGATATGACTTGACGGCACCTAACAACAACAACATAAATGTTCCATATATTTTGATGTTATGGAAAATGCTTTTATATATCTGTAAACCTCTTTATTTTGCCTTTGTTTTTAAAATATGTTTTAAATCTGGGCATAGAATTTTTGTTTTATTTTTCCTTGAAATATTTTTAAAAATGTTTTTCTCACTTGCATTGTTTCTAAGAACTTATTTTAACTTATGTTAACATTATCTTTATCTTTGTTCCTCTGAACATGTCTTTCTTCTTTGGTTTCTTTAATATTTTCTCCTTAACATGGTTCTGCTGTGCATGGGGTCGCTATGAGTCAGAAACGACTCGACGGCACTTAACAACAACTACAATCATGGTTTTAAGCCACTTGATTATTATGTATCTTGATGTAATTTTCTTCATGTTTCTTGCAACTGAGTTTCAACTGCACTTCTTGGTTCTGTGTATTTATATTTTCATTAAATTTGGAAATTTTTTCAGCCATTATTTCTTCAAATACTTTATTTTCCCAATCTAGCTCCTCCTCTTTGGGCACTTCATAGCTCACTGTGAAGTTCTGTCCATGTTATCATGTTTTTCTCTATATGTTTTATATTGTTTAATTTCTATTGCTATGTTCATTAATCTTTTCTTCTGCTGAATTTAATCTGTCATTAATTCTATCCAGTGCATTTTTCATCTCAAAGACAGTTTTCATTTATAGAAGTTCAACTTGGTCTTTTAAAAATATACACATATTTTTTTCCATGTCTCTACTTAACATTTTTAATACATAGGGTACACTTTTAATAACTTTTAATATTTTTACTTGCTAATTTTAATATTTATACCAGTTTTAGATCAGATTTGACTGACTCACTAATCTCCTCATTATGAGTTGTCATTTCCTGTTTGCTTTTTTTTTTTCCATGCCTCATACTCTATGGCCAGACAATGCAGATTGTACCTTGTTGGGTGTTGTATATCATTGTATATCAAAAAGTATTTTTAAACTTTGTTGTAGGATACAATTAAATTACTCAGAAAGAGTTTGATCCTTACAGATTTTGCCTCATCATTTGCTTCAGGGATCCACCGTAGTGTTGCCCTCAAAAAAACCGTCACTGCCATAGAGTCAATTCCAACTCATAGCAAGCCTCTTTGGGTTTCTGAGGCAATAAATCTTTATGGAAGCAAAAAAGTAATTCTGGTTTCATAACATGAGTCATAAAATGTTTTTCTTCTATTTTCAAGAAAAATTTGTGTAGAATTGATATAATGTCCTACTTTCATATTTGGTGAAACTACCATAGTAATACTGCCTCGGAAATCCAAGGAGGGGTTGCTATGAGTCAAGTCTGACTCGATGGCACATTAACAACAACAACAACAATGCAGCACTAGATAACTAAGGTACTGATTTTCTTTATTTTTTTTCTGTTTTGAATCCACTGCTTTCTGCTCTTATTTTTGTTATTTCCTTTCTTCTAATTAATTTGGGCTTAATTAGCTTTTTCTAGTTTGTAATGTGTAAGCTTAGATCATTAATTTAGAATCTTTAGTCTTTTCTAATATAGGAACTTAATTAAAATTTTCTCTAAATATTGGTTAGTTGCATCCCACAAAGTTTTGATACATTTTATTTAGTTCTATTTTAAAATTTACCTTGTGTCTTTTTTTTATTTTGACCCATTGGAAATGCGCTGTTTAATTTTCACATATACAGAGTATTTCCAAATATCTTCCTGTAATTTATTTCTAGTTTAATTTCATTACATACAGAAAAACATGCCTTGTATAGTTTTCAATTCTTTTAAATTTGTTAACATTTTCCAGTGGACTGAAGTATTGTCTATCTTTGTAAATGTTTAAAAACTGATTGCCAATGAGTCAATTCCAACTAACAGTGACTATATAGGACAGAGTAGAACTACTCCACAGGAGTTTACCAGGCTGTAAATCTTTATGGAAGCAGCCTGCCACATCTTTCTCCCACAGAGTAGCTGCTAGGTTCAAACCACTGATTTTTTTAGCTAGCAGCCAAGCACTTAACCACTGTGCCACCAGGGCAAGAACAGGCAGTGTTTTGTTGTACACAGAGTTGCTATGAATCAGAGCCAACTCAATGGCACCTAACAATAACTGCATTGCAAATGTTGAAGTGCACTTAAAAAGAGTCTCTATTCTACTGTTGTTGAGTGGCATGAGCTATAAATATCAATTAGGTAAAGTTTGTATTTAGTGTTTTTGAAGTTTTCTGTAGTCCTTCTGATTTTGTCTTCTTATGCTATTGATTATTGCAACAGAGAAAAAATTTTATGCCTCCATTGTGAACTGTGGATTTGTCTATTTCTCCTTGCAGTTCTTATTGTATTTTGAAACTCTATGGAGCTCTGGTAGCATAGTGCCTAAGGCACTTGACTGCTAACCAGAAGGCTGGAGGTTCAAACCCACCAGCCACTCCTCGGAAGGAAGGTTGGGCATTCCTACTTCCGTAGTGATACTGCCTCGGAAACCCAAGGAGGGGTCGCTATGAGTCGGGGCCGACTCGATGGCAAATAACAACAACAACAATTGTTAGATGCATATACATTTTGGATTATTATATCTTCTTGGTGAATTAACACTTCCATCGTTATATGCTCTCTATTCTTATCCCTGATAATGTTCCTTGATCTGAAGTCATCTTTGTGTGATATTAATATGTCCACTCCAGATTTCCCTTGATTAGTGTTTCATGGTCCATCTTTGTTTGATAATTTACTTTGTACCTATGCATGTCTTTAAATTTAAAACAGGATATAGTTTTGTTTTATTTTTATCCAATCTGAATTTTTTGTCTTTTAATTGGTGTGTCAAAACCATTTACATTTAATGTAATTCTTGATATTGTTGAATTTATGTCTACCATGTTTTTTGTTTTGCTTCTCTTCCTATATTTTTGTGTTTTCCTTCACATTCTTTGGATTATTTAGTAAAAATTTGTCTTCAACTCCCCTTCTCTTTACTTCTTTAATGCTTTCTGTCTCCCAGGTATCCAATGTTTTTAGGAAATTTGAACTTTATCCAGTACCTCCTCACTGCTCATTTTAACCTGAGACAAATGCCACAATAGCACCTATATCTCTGGACTACTTTCTTCCATCTCTCACAAAATATTACTCTGCTTGCCTATCCTCTCTGTTTGCAAAGACAACAGGGTATGTGTAATCACTTTATGTTTAAATAAGGTTAATAGCCCATTATAATAGACAGGAGAGGTTCAGAATTCTTAGATTGGTGTGGAACAATTATTCCCTATTAATGTATTTTGCTTTTCTGTGACTGCTCAAGGATTCTTCTTTCTTGATGAATTTCCACCAGAAGAGTACATGCAGATACCCAGAGGAATCTTTCTGAATATTAAAACCTAGAAACTAGGAGATAACAGCTTACCAAAGATATAAAAACCAAAAGGCCACCCAAGGATTTGACTGATGAGGCCACCCAGGAGGACAGCAGTGAAGTGTCCCAGGATTATTCCTGTAAAGAGACAGAGAGTAAGCTATGGAACTCTAGGCACCCACCTGGCAGACACATACAGAATGCCAAATGGCATGTTGTACAGCAGCACCACCAAACCATAAAGACATGAGCATATTAGAATATGTGACCTTGGATTCATGGTTCAATTCCTATGATATCCCGAGATCCTATTTTTCCCACAGTTCCCTAGTAAGATTGCAGGTGACAGTCTTCTTTTTATGCTGTTATGATTTTAAATATTTAATATTTTAATTTTTAATTACATAAATCATATGTGCTTATTATAAAAATAAATCACCACAAAGACTCAAAATGCCTCTCACATGCTCCCCATCCATTTTTGCTTTTCTCTCTAAAGTTAACCATTGTTGTTGTTTTTGTTATGTGCCGTGAAGTCAGCCCCAACTCATAACAACCTCTCCTTGGGTTTCCAAGGCAGTATCACTACAGAAGTAAGATTGCCCAACCTTCCTTCTGAGGAGTGGCTAGTGGGTTTGAACCCCCAGCCTTCTGGTTAGCAATCAAGTGCCTTAGGCACTATGCTACCAGAACTCCTAAGTTAACCATTAGTGATAATTTATTACATGACACATAATTGCATACTTTTTCTCTCTGCACACACATAATACATACACATATTTTTTGTAAATGCATTTATGTAATATGTGAATATGAAGCTAGAATATGTATTTGTTTATAAATATGTTAATGCATTTTGTTTTCATTTCTATAGCTTTATATGTTGTTGTTGTTGTTGTTATGTGCCGTCGAGTCGGACCCAACTCATAGCAACCCCTCCTTGGCTTTCCAAGGCAGTATTACTACGGAAGTAGATTGCCCCATCTTCCTTCTGAGGAGTGGCTGGTGGGTAGTGTTCTCATATATGTTGTTGTTGTTGTTCTTATGTGCCATTGAGTTGGACCCAACACATAGCAACCCCTCCTTGGGTTTCCGAGGCAGTATCACTATGGAAGTAGATTGCCCAACTTTCCTTCCAAGGAGTGGCTGGTGGGTTTGGACCACCAACCTTCTGGTTAGCAGTCAAGTGCCTTAGGCACTATGCTACCAGAGCTCCTGTTCTCATATATAGTAGGGCACAATCACTTTTTATAACTTTTTCAAACATTTCTAGACTATTGTATTATTTTTCCGATGAATACAAGCATCAACTTGTCAGATGCTATACATATATATGTGAGTTATTATTTTTAAATAATCAGGATCATAATGTACTATTCATTTTCCATTTAACATATGGTCTTACAAGTATTTCCATATCACCATGTAGATTCTATCTAATTATTTCTGAGAATAGATATAATTAGTCATTTATAAATAACTAACAATTGGTTGAAATAAGCTATTTTTGCACAACAGAGTACCAGAAGTGGACTTGCTAGATCAAAGATTATTTAAATTTTGACAAGTAGTACAAAAGTGTCCTGCTAAAATTCTGTATCAAATTAAATAGCCAACATATACTGTTTCTTTTTCCTCTTCTCCTTGACAACATTAGATATCCTCAAAGTCTTTAAAAATAGTTTTTCCAATATGAAATTAAGACACCATCTCATTTTACTTTCTTTTTTTCTGACTTATGGTGAAAGTTGAGCAGTTTTTCCTGCTTAACTGTTACTTAAATTCGTCTACAAACTGTCTTTTTTTTTTCCTTTGTTTCTTTTATTTGTTTAAATTTGCCTTACTGATTTACAGAATCTTTATGTATTGTGAAGGAGCTCTGGTGGCATAGTGAATAAGGCATTTGGCTGCTAACCAGAAGGTCAGCAGTTCAAACCTACCAGCTGCTCTGCAGAAGGAAAATGGGGTGATCTACTTCTGTAATGATTTACAGCCTTGGAAACCCAATGGGGGTCACTATGAGTTAGAATCAACTCGAAGGCAGTGAGTTTGGTTTTTTGGTTTGGTTTTTATATTGTGAGTAATAATTCTCTGTTGCATACTGGCCACAATTCTGTTCTTCTATATTTAATTTTATTTGTGTTATGTTTTGTAATTCAGCAGTTGTAAGTATTTGTGGGGTCAGATCTACAAGTCTCTTCTGGAATGACCTCTAGACTTACTTTTTTTTGGTTAAAAGAGCTTTCACCATCCCACATTTTAAAAAATCATCACTTATATCTCCCTTTTCTTTTGGTCATGCCCCTTATTTAAGCATCTTACATATGTTATCTCATTTAAGTGCTAGTATCCAAATTTATAGTTGAGGAAATAGAGATATGGACCAGTTAAATGACTTGTTCAAGGTCACATAGTTAATAACAGATGAGGCAGCATTTGAAATGAGGAGCTCTGGTGGTGTAGTGCCTAAGGCATTTGACTGCTAACCAGAAGGCTAGTGGTTCAAACCCACCAGCCACTCCTCGGAAGGAAGATTGGGGAATTTATTCCTGTAGTGATACCACCTTGGAAACCTAAGGAGAGTTCTCTGTGAGTTGGATCCGATTTGATGGCAGTGAGTTTGGTGGGTTTTTTTAGCCTG